GCTGTCCGGAGTATGGGAACTGTTTATGACGATTAGATGAAGATATCTGCAATCATAAAATGCTATGGGAAGGGAGGATAACGGGTCCACGACGTAGGAAGTGATGAAGGAAGTAATCAAGGCAAGCTGTCCGGAGTATGGGAACTGTTTATGACGATTAGATGAAGATATCTGCATTCATAAAATGCTATGGGAAGGGAGGATAACGGGTCCACGACGTAGGAAGTGATGAAGGAAAAAGTCAAGGCAAGCTGTCCGGAGTATGGGAACTGTTTATGACGATTAGATGAAGATATCTGCAATCATAAAATGCTATGGGAAGGGAGGAAAACGGGTCTGCGACGTAGGAAGTGATGAAGGAAGTAGTCAAGGCAAGCTGTCCGGAGTGTGGGAACTGCTTATGACCATTATATTAAGGTATTTAGCAATCCTATGATGCTATGGGAAGGGAGGGAAACATGTCCGTCACGTAGGAAGTGGTGAAGGAAGTAGCCAAGGCGAGCTGTCCGGAGTGTGGAAACTGTTTATGACGATTAGATTAAGGTATCTGCAATCATAAAATGCTTTGGAAAGGGTGGGAAAAAGGTCCGTGGCATAGGAAGTGGCGAAGGAAGTAGTAAAGGCGAGCAGTCCGGAGTGTGGGAACTGTTTATGACGATTAGATTAAGGTATCTGCAATCATAAAATGCTATGGGAAGGGAGGGAAACAGGTCCGTCACGTAGGAAGTGGTGAAGAAAGAAGTAAAGGCGAGCAGTCCGGAGTGTAGGAACTGTTTATGACGATTAGATGAAGATATCTGCAATCATAAAATGCTATGGGAAGGGAGGATAACGGGTCCGTGACGTAGGAAGTGATGAAGAAAGTAGTCAAGACAAGCTGTCCGGAGTATAGGAACTGTTTATGACAATTATGGTATCTGCAATCATAAAATGCTATGGGAAGGGAGAGAAAAGGTCCGAGACGTATGAAGTGGTGAAGGAATTAGTAAGGTGATCAGTGTGGAGTGTGGGAACTGGAAACCGTTTGTATAGCAGTTAAATTAATGTATCTGCAATGCTGAAATGCTATGAGAAGGGATGGAAGCATCCCCACGACATAGAAAATGGTGGAAGAAGTAGTAAAGGCTAGCAGTGCGGAGTGTGGGGAATGTTTGTGGCAATTAGATTAACGTATCTAAAATACTAAATTGCTATGGAAAGTGATGAAAACAGGTTCACGATGTAGAAAAAGGCTTAGAAAGTAGTAAAGTATGAGCATAGTGTGAAAACCGTCTGTGGCAGTTAGATTGATGTATCTTTAATCTAAAAATGCTATGAGAGGGGAAGGAAACAAGACTATGACGTAGGAAATGGTGAAGGAAGTGGTAAGGCTTGCAGTGCAGAGTGTGGGAACTGTCTTTGGCAATTACATTAATATATCTGCAATCCTAAAATGTTATGGGAAGAGAGGGAAATAGGTCCACGACTTACATCAATTTGGTGAAGGAAGTGTAAAGGTGAGCGTGTTGAGTGTGGGAATGGATTAATGTATCTGCAAAGCTAAAACGCTTTAGGAAGAGACTGTAGACTGTAGGTTAAAATAATTTCGAAGCACGAATCAATACATATTTCGATACAATCGTTTATAATAGAAATTTACAACTGAGTTGACAACAGCTGATTTTTACTCTATAGAGGATAAAAACTATTTTTACTCCATAGAGGATAAAAACTATTTTTACTCCATAGAGGATAAAAAATAATTTACTCCATAGAGGATAAAAACTATTTTTACTCCATAGAGGATAAAAACTTTTTTTACTTCCTAAAGAGTAAAATTATTGCTACTTTATACCCGCAACGCATGCATTAAAAACGACTGGTATTACTGCAGTATGGCCAAAACAATCTTCTATAAAAGGCAAAGCCCTCACTGACTGACTGACTGACTCACTCACTCACTCATCACTAATTCTCCCACTTCCCATTTACCTAGGAGGCTGAAATTTGGTACACTGATTCTTTAGGCATTAAATAGGAAAACTATGATGATAAACTGTTCTATGATGTGCATTACCATTAAAGTTACAAGGATTACCAACAGGGTGCAGCACTATTTTTTTTTTTTATGACAACAGCTAATTTGCAACCAAAAGGTGAGTGAGCGTAGCGAACGAACTTCAACCTGGAGGCGAGTTAGCGTAGCGAACGAGCTAACCTGAAGGCAAGTGAGCGCAGCGAACGAGCTCCAACCTAAAGGTGAGTGAGCGTAGCGAACGAACTTCAACCAGGACGTGATTGAGCCATGCGAACGAGCTCACTTATGAAGTAAAACGGGGCAAAGCCCGTGGGTACAGCTAGTATAATATAAACCCTTGATGACTCCGCTCAATTTTGTGGATGCCTCTGCGAACGCCACCTAGTATTTCTTTAATTTCAACGTTCTTCTGTTATAAACTGGTTTTAAAACAACTCGGGTCAAAACTGAAACTATGAAATTAAACCAAAGTAAAGATATATTAGGTACTGTATACACAAAGGGTAAAAACATAATTAATGTTAATGATTATGAAAATAAGTTAATCATAATGCTTACCCAACAACACAATATTTTTAAAACTACTAATTGCCAGTGATTTTAAGGTGCCTGGAAAGGCCCTAATTTTGGTCTTAAGTATAAACTTTTTAAAAATTGTACAATGTTTTAAAGTACTAATATACAATTGATGTACGTAAAAAATTGCACCTGAGAGGTACATATTTTTCTTGTCCTAATGGCTCAACTACAATGTCGTGCCGCTTGTACCTTTGTCATGTTTTCTAGGTTTCTTTCTTTAGAAGTGTCTGCTATTATTGCTAATCCACTAATGTCCCTGTCATGATATTCTTGGTGGTATGTTTGGAATCATATTAAGAACCTACATATTAAAAAATAGTAACTTGAAATTTGTAAACCTTTTTTGCCTTGAATTTAATATTATATAAGCCTTTACTTCAAAAAAATATACATCCTGTATACATTTAGGAAATAACAAAATTGGGTGTTAAGGTGGAAGGACCTTTTTATTTGTATGTCAAGCATTTCTATTGTCAAGTTATCGGTATATTTTAATATTTTCCATCACGTTTTTAGTATTGGTTTTCCTACGAGGTCGGTTATCTATTCTTCCTACGTTCCTCTATCCTCGTCTATATGCGTTCTCAAGCTTGTAGGTACGTGGATGTATAAAGTACAAGAGATGATCATTCGGTAAAATACATGAATGATGAGTAGAAATTAGATGGATAGACATTTAAGGTAATACAGTAATACAATTTAATGCAATTTATTTAACAGAACTTTATTTAGGACATGATGGATAAGTGTAATAAGTGCAAGGTGGAGTGCGACAAGAACTCGTCCGACGTAATATCGTGCGTGGAGTGTAGTGACGTGATGCATGTGCAGTGTGCGGGACTTGACCTGAAGAGGAAGACCCGTAACCGTCCGTTCATGGACATATTTTAAAGAAATTTTAAAATTGTCTTTGCTTCATACTAAGCTATCAATATTTCAATTAAAAACCCCCCTATTTTCTTCCCTGTAGCAGCAAACTTAAACACTCATTAAAATTAATGATATTTAAATAGGAAATAAATTTGACAATTTTAAGGTAATAATTTAGTGGAATTCCAGCCAGGTAGATGGAAATTTGCTTAGTCTGCAGGTTTGCTGCGGCGGGGGTATTATTGAATTTCACCTTGTCAAGTGTTAAGATACGTCCGTGCGTCAGAGGATAAAATACAATTATACAGTTTCGTAATTTGGTTGTTCATCCTTCCAATTAATAAATATTATACATAATATATTTTCTATGCTCATATCTCAACCAACAGGCTGGAACCATGGTTGTAGCTTTTGGCAACTTTAGCCTGCTCCCAACCCTAATATAATATAATTCATTTAGACGTCATGCCAAATCTACATACTAAGCTATACAATTTGTTATTGGTTAAAAACCTTATTATAGGTAAAAACATTTACGCGAGTTGCGTACACTACTTTACATACGACAGAGTTTTTATTACTATAAATCGCTACCTACTCATAACTTCTAAGAGAGGTTATGTTTTCGTATTGACAGGTTATTTTTCGTTGACAGTGGTGCAACGAAACATTGTACCAAACACTAATTGCACCACTCAAAAATTAAATTGACCTGAACAGCTGATTAGTGAAGTTCGAATAGTTACAATTTTACTTCTTCTCTCTCAATCCTTGAACCTCATTGGTCCGTTACCTGTGTTGTTATGAAAAACTATGCTGTTATGAAAGTAAACAATGCCGTTATGAGAAACTTTTCAATTCTAAGAACTGAACAGAAACAGCTGCTTTAAAAAAACGACCGTAGGTAAATAGTGTTGACGACACTTGTAGAAGTTTTTAAGGCACTCGCCACGGCTCGTACCTTTAAATTGTCTACTCGTGTCGCTATTACACAATTGTTTGTATTTTAAGCTCAGTTAAATAGTGGAAAGATACAAATTTCTCAAACATTTGTTGTCAACAATTTTTTATTTAGTTTACAAAACTCCCCAGCTGCAAACGCAAATTTACCCTAAAGCACACATTTAAGTCATAGAAAATCGCACAAGTATGCAACATTTCCTGAAGTAATTTTTAATGGATGACTAATATTTATGAAATTTACAATCATGATGAAAAATTGGGTCGGATCCACACCAAGTTGAACAATGACTTTTGTCATTGTTTGTGTATCCATTACTTTAAACCTCGATAGCACGTATTTCATGGGATGGAAAATTTATATTTATAATTCCTGTGCACTTCTTTTGTGGTTTGTAGGGACGAGCCATAGCTAAAATCAAAGGGACTAATGTAGTCACAAATACTAAGGCATTTTAAATTACTTTAGTTCAAATGAGTTATACAATCAAAGACACTCCTGCTATCGAGGGTATAGCCTTGCCACACACGTTCTATTACTAAGAGGTGATGGAAAATGCAAATAAAAGTCAGATTAGGTATTGTCGTTATAATTTGTACAAAAGTTTTTTGTTTACAATAGTGAGACAGCACAGTACTTGTAAGCCTACATATACAGGGTGAGTTAAGCCTTGGGGGCTTTGGGGGCGGGGGAAGTCTCGGGAGCTACTGTTGGGATCTCAGGATACTCTAGCTTCACACCAGGCTCGCACTCAAAGATGGGGCAGCAGGTGGGGAACGGCGCAGTCTTGTTGGTCTTCTCGCTCAACTTGCACTGGAAATTAAACAAATAAATAAAACATCGTGATAAAGGTATAAAGTCTACAATCTCTTGCTCACTAATTTAAATTTTGCTCAGGCTTACTACGATTACTAATCTCAGAATATTCTTCTCGGTGTACATCTCGAGCAAAGTGGACTCCTAGGTCAAGATCCAAGTTCATTGGTTTTTAGTGCCAACCTTGGAAGTTAGTGCCCTCTCACGCACTATCCAGTCCACTATAAGTCCAATACGCTTAACCACACGCCCTATGTTCTAGAGAATGATTACTACTATTGTTAGAACACAGCTGTCTTCGTTCATAGTTCAACATTACGTCAGCAAACAAGATTTTACATTATTTGTAAACAAACTTTACATGATGCACATTGGCAAAGTAAAATTTGCCATTTAACTAGTGAACAAAAACCACGTTAGGAAAGTGTATTTGAATTTCGGTTAATGGCGTCATTTTAAATTGTGGTTCTCACTCTATATTTCTCTAATTATTGTGACGATTGCTATTTTAAGATCGAATAAACGGATGAACTTGAAATGACATGTAGGTCCCTTAAGCTCTGGGTGTGTTGCAAGAATGTATTTAAACCCAGTTTCTGCTTTGCAAAGTAGGTAAATATTGCAATCTAAGTTAGAATATCTCGAGAGTTAATAGTTATTTGTGCAACTAGTGAGAAAAGTGAGCAATTGACTCACTCGAGAGAAACCCTTACTCACGAGGAATGGTTTCTCGAGTGAGGCAATTGTACTTTGCACTCGAGTTGCACATTATATTTTTCCTACAGTTACCATAAAACAAATAAATTTGTGAAGAAACATAACCTTATATTTCACAGAAGTGAACTTTTAATATAACATTTAATGTGAAGTTACAAATACAACAGTACAACAGCTGACCAGCTGATTTACAGCCAGTGCTGCCAACGTATTTCGCGCGCATACGACGTTGCCTGCATGTTACGTGCTCACTATTCCGTGCCTTCACGTTGCAAATCTGGAGTGAGACAAAGTAATTAGAGTGAGACAATGTTAACATTGTCTCACTGATGAGCGAATTGGCCACTTTGCTTTCTCAAATCAGTGAGAGAACATGTACATTGTTAGGTAACTGTAGGAAAATAGTTATTTGTGCAACTAGTGAGAAAAGTGAGCAATTGACTCACTCGAGAGAAATCCTTACTCACGAGCCGTAGGCGAGTGAGGAATGGTTTCTCGAGTGAGGCAATTGTACTTTGCACTCGAGTTGCACATTATACTTTTCCTACAGTTACCATAAAACAAATAAATTGGTGAAGAAACATAACCTAGTTTTACACAGAAGTGAACTTTTAATATAACATTTAATGTGAATTGACAAATACAACAGTACAACAGCTGACCAGCTGATTTACAGCCAGTGCTGCCAACCTATTTCGCGCGCATACGACGTTGCCTGCATGTTACGCGCTCACTATTTCGTGCCTTCACGTTGCAAATCTGGAGTGAGACAAAGTAATTAGTGTGAGACAATGTTAACATTGTCTCACTGATGAGCGAATTGGCCACTTTGCTTTCTCAAATCAGTGAGAGAACATGTACATTGTTAGGTAACTGTAGGAAAAACTGTTTTCTTGCTTGTAAAGTTACACGCAGCAGACGCACTGTAGAAGAGAATAAGAATTAAAAAATTGTCTTATCAATCTTTATTGTTTTATGAAGTTGGCAATTGCCATTTCTCTCTTTCAGAAAGAAAGAGAAACTTCATCCATGCAAAACGTGCATTCTCATCCATTTACTTGCTTCGCCACAGAACTCCTAAATTTGGAACATGAAGTAGGTAGGGCCTAGAGGCGAAAGTAAAGGTATGATAATGGAAGACTGGGTAGGCATTAATTGCGCCAACTGATCTGAGTCAGGTAGTCGGGTATTCCTGAATTGCGCAAACGACTCCAGGGAGCCACCCAATAAGTTCATTAACTGCACCAAGTGGCGGCCCTCTTTTACTGTATAATTTAGTAGGTTGGGTTAGGTTTGGTTAGGTTAGGTTAGGTTAGGTTAAGTTCGGTTAGATTAGGTTAGGTTAGGATGGCATGTAAACAAGGACATTCTTTCTGCTGGAAACTCACCCCTACCTGGCTTGGGTTTGGCGCAACTAAGAACCATTTGTTGGGACCCTTTGAGGGATTGGCGCAATTACGGAACTCTTTGGCGCAATTAATGCACGACCAGAGACAATATAACTAATACCTAATCCTGATCGACAGCTTTAGAGGGGCTCACCTTGGAGTTAGGCTTGGGCAGAGGTCCGCAGTCTTCCACGAGCTCCAGCAGTCTAGGAGATTCCTTGTCCTGAACACAGGTGGAGCGACCACAGAAGGGAGACAGTTCCCAGCTATGACCAGGCTCGATGGTGGCACATCGGGTGGACGCGAAGCACACTCCAGGGAAGTCTGTCAAGTCACAACATATCGGTTACATCGATGAATACATAATCGAAAAAAAACTATGGAGCCTGTTATGCCATCGTCCTTACTCATTTAAAATCCATGTGTTTAGCCCCTGAGCTGTTGGACATAATGTAAGACTAAATTACTTACGTAATCCCGTCACAGCTCAATAAATAAAATATGTCAATTCAGGACATGTTGTGTTTATGTTCTGACGATGTTAACTACTTATCAACTCTACATATGTACCTGAAGCTGACGATGGTGTTTTAACACAGAAACTTGTCCTGAATTGACATATTTTATTGAGCTGTGACGGGAATACGTAAGTAATTTAGTCTTACTTACTCATTTACTCATAATTACTAGCCCTTTGGGGCGTTATTCATCCGATAATATATTGTAGGCCCTATACGGGACTGCAGCATTCTTAAGAATTTAAAATTGTTGTACGAATTACTTTTATTAATTATTCATTGAATAGAAACTACAAATAAATATTTTTTTTTTAAATTTTGCTGTTAATTAAATTGCTCCATTCTCTGTCAAATGTAAGCTTAACTAAGTACTTATATAGAACTTGTAAACAAAAATATGCTGACGATTAGTTTCGACAAATATGAATTCCTTACAGTTTCTTCCTTCAGATGCGTTATCAAATGGGGTTTGTAGTTTTATTTTACGACAATATTCTTTCTGAAAGTTTTATTTTCCTTCAAAATATTGTCATAGATTTATTGAATGAATTTTCTCATCTCCAGTTACATGGGTTGGACGGAAGACTCGAAATGCACCCAGATGGTGCTAGGATCAAAATAAGGATTTCCAGTTGGCTTATATTCCACTAATATATGGTTGTAAACAACCATATTCTAACATCTGTGAAACAAATGTAGATGAACCAACTCAAATCTTGAAATAAATTGTAAAACCTTCAGTTTGAATGGGATCCTTCAAAATATACATATCATTTCTTGTTCTATGCGAACTCCGGTTGTTTTAATTTAACGTTAATGACAGTAAAGTAACACTTTGAAAATTGTTGTGAGAGTAACAGGTTCGGCCAAACTACTTTGGGGGTTCCGATATGGTTCGATCAACCTCGTAAAATTATTCATGCGTAGATAGCATAAATTAAAGCGATCTTTGAAATAAGTGAGTTGTTAAATAGTGTTTCTAGAAACAGTTTTCAGAGGCAATATTTTACTGAGACATATTTCTATTACTTTTTCTCATAAAACATACCACCATACGATGAAATATCTTTACTTCCAAAAAGTGGACCCCTTGATTTTCAGTAGCCTTCTTGTTTGAAGTGATTGACTTTTATTACGATTGCAATAGCGATGTCATTCATATAATCCCGGACATAGGAAAAGCTTGTTAAGTTTGCGTTCCGGGTGGTTCGTAACCGGTCCGGTTTGTAGGTTACCTTTACCTGCAATGTAGCCTAGCTCACAGCGATCACACTGAAGCTCACGACAACGGTATAGAAAGTGAGGTCAGACTTTCTAAAAAAACTGCAAATTGTAAACTGTACATTATAAATGGTTCCCATCTCATCTGCGGATGTGCATTCATTTCCGACGAGGAATATGGAAGAATTGCAGCGCATGGCGAACATGTCCATTACTGTAAACTTCAATGTACTATCATAGATTAAAGAAGTTATTAGAACTTTCAATAGGGCGTCAAAAATATATTCTCACATTTTAATTGTAAATATACCTGTAGAATTAGCAAATTACGACAGCTCTTACCTCTATCTAAGATAAATCATCAATTTGATGCAAATTAGGCATGTTTTTCTTTCTTATCTGTGGGATCTGTTTTGACCAAAAATTAAATTAATTGTTTAAAATTTTCCATCCATGAAAATATGTCCTATTTGGTTGGAGATTTTACCTTAAAGCTCATAATATGTGTATTTTGAGAAAATACAAATAACTCAACTTGACAATAACTTAACAATAATTACCTTGAACTATATCTATATCAGATAAGGAGTATTGGAAAATTATATTTCTAAAACGACTGATTACAAGATTACCAACCTTAAGTTGTAACCTTCTGGGATGATAAAATATCATTGGAGCTCACAGAAGGTGAGAAGGTGTAAGAACGTAACTAAGGGATTTCCAACACAGTGATTTAATACCATACTGTTTGAAAAACATTGTACAGCGATGCAAATATTTATAAACAACTTCTAATCTAGTATTATTATTTTTTTACTTGAAATCAAAAATATGCTGACGATAAGTTTTGACAATATATGAAGTCCTTACAGTTTCTTCATACGCTTCATCAAATGGGATTTGTAATGTCTAAAAAAACCTCTCAACTAAACATCTCGTTATTTGTTCCCGGTTTACCAGCTGAGTATTTTGTACTCTTTAAGTTTAATCACCACAGCACCATTTGCAATTTAACATAATTACAAAATTGCGATTATAATGTTTATAATGTTTTCAACCGAACAGTTAAACTAAAATCCGATCCCAGAGTGACTAACAAGAGGAAGGTCGTAGAGAACAACCCTTTGTACGTTACAAAACTGTGTTGCAAAATATGATTTGACGCGGACTTGGACTGTTTCCAGCGAGTTACTTGTCGTCTGTCCTTCGTCCTGGCGTGCTTTCACTGCATGATCAAATAAGGAAGCCCTTGTGAACAGCTGTTAAACTGATTCAAATTATTACGGACTAGAATCAATCAAAAAGGGAATTTTATTAAAAGTACCTGTTGACTGAAAGTTTGTAATTCCTTCTAGGTTATAGTGACTCATTTGTCTTTTACATGATTATTCGTTACCCTTAATTACTCAAACTTACTTTTAATACTTTAATACTTTTCAATGAAATGTCGACCATACAAAGTAGGTATTTTAAACCCAGTATGAGTGGAGATGAGTGTAGGATGAGTGGCGCGATCTTGTGGTCGTGTTAGTGTCTAAGGCCGACATATTCCTTAGACACAGCTGTTAATTAATAGCCCATACAGCCAACGACAACTTAAGGGACTTACAGTTTATAGTGGAATCCGAACCACATTTTTGCCTTTGGTATATACGAATTGGTCTAATTATCAGGAAAGTACTGCGGATAGTCGTAGTATATAGTTAGTCACTGAACAATATACTTAGTTTTGCCTGATACATCCTAAAACAAAGGCTAAGACTAGGGCTTAAGTAGTCTACTTAATAAAGTAAACCAAAATTTTGTATGCATACAATTTCTCAAGAAGGGCCAATACTTGCGATTACTATGTACTAATTGTATCTCAACAACTTTTTTTGTTAAAATTAAAAGTTTAGAATCTAATTGTCCAAAATGAAAGGTTCAACGAGATGTGGTAAAAACCACTTTCTCGACAACCTAATCCTCTTGTCCCAAAATAACAGTAAACAAAGTAAAGAAGTTTTCGTAAACACTGCCACATAATCGTGCTGGGAAAGCTTTAGATCATCCGGTAAATACAAGTGAGGTGAAGTTGGCAGGTTGTAGTTTATAGCCCATTGTCAAGTTGCATGCTTCTGTAGGCAGGTACCTAGGACAGGCTGTATCTATAGGTAATGATTTGCATAAGACCTCTGCACTACACACGTGGTACAGCCCTTGTCTAATACAACCTTGAAGGAGATAGATTTCCTTCCTGTAGCCAGAGATTATCTTGAATTACTGGTGTTATTCTTTACGAGCAAGACATAATGGCTTCGTTGAAAGCAGTTGAATCTGTTCCTTGGAAATTTTGTCGCCTTCTCCCTATTCCCCTTTTCTTCAGTTCGCAAGCTGTTAAAGTTTTATGACAGTCAAAAGGTAGTTAACAAACTACAAACCATTAATTGTTGTTTGGACTATAGTGAAAAAGGAAGAACAATTAGATTCGAAGACGAACATAGTTTTGATGGCGTTGTTCTCGTAGTTCATTCAAATACGTCCTTACATCTTAACCGCTCTAATGAGGTTTGTGTCTGAGAAGAGCCATTTTAGTTTAAACATGTAAAAACCCAGCAGATTTTATTATTTTGGAGTATAGTTTGCAGATTTGTTCCCATGTAGACTTTAGTTAATCAACATTTAATCGTTGATGTAGTTTCAAATTACAATATCATCCTGAAACTGACAACTGGAGAAAATATTTACCAACGCCAACCGTTAAAATAAATAAGTATTTTAGTAAATATAGGCAATGCATCAACAGTAAATAAACGGACATTCTCGTTAGTGAAAATCTTTAACTGTCTTACATAAATAAATATTTAGCACCAGATTGTATTGAACTGCTTCTTTAATATGAATAAAAAAACAAAACTGAAATTTCGTTCAGTGACTCAGTTATAGAACTAAAAATTATAGTTAATATTCCCTATTTATTTTCCTATTAATAATGTTGATATTATTAAACTCTTACAAGTGTTTTAAAATATACTCTACTAAATCTTTGTATAAAGGCATAAGACAACCAAAAACAAAGTCTAATCAATCATAAATTCCCACAAGCTACAAATATCACACTTTTTTGATAAATAGTGGTCCTAAAAAGGATTAACCGTTTACATCCCCGAGTGTAATAAAAAATGTTTTAAAAAACCGGACACCAACGACCAATAAATTTCTTATATCCTGAGACATGTCTTCGGGGCATTGGTTTGTGGGATTCCTACGTGAGACAGCGGCTGCCCTTTGACCCCCCCCCACTCACCCGGTGACCTAGACCCCCTGACCAGCGACCTTAGTGCTCGTTTGGACTGAGGAAATGTCGGTACACAAATGGGAAAGAGAATTAGAAAGCATATTAGAGGGCAGCAACGCGAATTAGAATCTAGGGAATCGGAGCATCGCAAAGCAGATGAGAAATGGGATAAACATCGAATTTGTATCTAAACTGAATACATTTTTGGTTCAATAGTTAGAATCTTATACGACCGTGCATTAATTGCTCATTAAAAATACCGGAGATTTTTTAAATTGTCGATTGAATACAAACGAATGATTTTTTATCTTCGGGAATCTTGCAGAATTTTAAGCAACAAAATGGTGATACTATATAGATTTAAATAGCTATGCATTGTATACATTTTTATTAAAAAAAAACACTCATCGTGATCGTAGTGTAATTTGTGTGTATAAAATAACTACACTTGCCTTTGTATCGACAAAGGTTCCTTTGTTGTTTGATTTGTATTACTGAAGTAGATTTTGGGAATGGTAAAGTAACAAAATTATCATCCCTGAATCTGTTTTACCTCATGAACATGTCATTTAGCTATATGTTAATCCAATTGGCATAAAAAAAACTATCCAAAATAGATGGTACTTTGAGTTGATCTGGCGATCACAACTTTTAACCAATTTACAAACATGGAATAACAAGAAGAAGTATATTACTCTATAATGTAACACCGTTGGCATTTTTGTTTGTCTTTAAACAGAAACTGACCAAATCCTGACCTTGTTACTTTAATTGTTTTAACTTTGACCATTTGTTCGATAGCATCAACAAATTGATGGCGAAATGATAAACAACATCTGGGCCCAGAATCATCCACATTAGGGAGTTAAACTTCAACCAGCAATTTTCATGTACCTCTGAGAACGTCGGCGGGTATCAGCCTCTTGAAGATCTTTGGCCTGTCATCGTCCTTCGCAGCATCCTTGTCCTTCTCTTCTGCCAGCACCAGACAGCAGGCCAGCAATACGGCGAACCCACAGTTTAGCACCTGCATTCTGAGAATTCTGCAACGTCAAAAACATCTTCATTAGAAATTATATTCATATTTAATCATTTTTACGCTATGAATTACAAGAAAGGTTAAATTATCAATTATTTTCAAATCGAACATAAAGTAACTAGAGGGAGGGTTGAAAAGTAGAGGGGGGCTTCATTACTGGGACTGAGGATATTCATCAAATGCACATTCTCATGGATTTTCAATGGAATTGGTATAGCTTCGTATTCGACAAGGAAATTAACGTTTAGATTCGAAAACCAGTGGTCGTCTAACGAAAAAATAGGACTAATCTCTCTGTAGGAAAAATAAAATTACAAAAACCATTATTTTAATATTTTTGAACTGTACTTTTTACTATGTACTTCTAATTTTGGTATAATATTAAACTGTTATTGGATCTAGTTTTCATTAGATATTAATTTGAAGTCAACCACAATTAATTTGTTTTCGTTACTTATGAACCTTAACTGTAAAACCATTTTCATACTCCAAGAATTATTTTCTGGATTATTTTTACGCTAAAACGATATATTACCTGTAACATTAACGTTTAGTTTGCATGGGTTGTATGATAATGGGTGGAAATGAGGTTGTTATATTCTAAATCTAAATTTGACATTTCGTAGGCCTAATTAATCGGTCGAATTTGACATTTTCACAACTGCATATGTCAATCGCAAATAATAAAACCTCAGTGTTTTAGATTGTTGTAGGAACCTTCGGAACATAATATGTTTAGGCCAATAAGGCTTACACTGCTCTTTTGAAAGATATAGATTCTCCAGAGAGTAATCACTGACATCAAGAGGTGATCCTTCGGTGACACAAACATATTCTAAGTCCAAAAATGCTCCCGATTTAATAAAAATATAGATTCAATCCTCCGGAAGGTGTTAGCTAACACTACAGTGATAGTTGACTGTTAAACGATCTCAATATCTAGTAGGTGAGGTGTGAGGTGACAGATCCCTAGGTCGTTTTGAAGGTCGTATCAAGGTCGTCTAACTGTATCGCTGCAGCAGTACTCAGTACCAGATGTCCTTCGTCACTTATGTCTACAAACTGTTGGGTCACATTTACGTAATTTCCCCGAAGTTTGGAAGAGAGCCAAATTTCATCATCGTGGCTCACATTCGTCTTCAAGGTTTCATCAGTCCTCTTTTCCTTCTCTTTCTTTTCCTCGTACTTTTCTTTCTTTGACTATCTTTTACCTCTTATTTTAATCCTTCTTTTTTTTATTAGCTAAGCAATAAACATGTGACAACTCAGTTAATTATAGTTCGTTCAGCTATAGGAGTACGTGTAGACTCTGTGTGATTGATTTCCTTTCTAGTTCCCAACCATTCCCGAAGAGGCCCTTTTTCAAAAGTAAACTGAGATTTCATCCCACACAGCTTCGTATTTTCAGTTATCTGATTCTGGAGGTTATAGTCGATGGAGATAACGTAAACCTCCACTAAAACAGATTTCTTGTAGGCGGAAACCAATTTTCCTTTAAGTAGTTGAATTTCGTCATGGTATTCTCCTCAAGGTCAGAAAACCTCTCGTTCCAACTGCAACTGTTGGAACGGAAGTTCCTGGGAAGTAGTGCATTTGGTAAACCGCTTATGAAATGGGGGTATGAAAATGAACTATTGGATATTCCAATGGGGAACAGCAGATGGTTTGGTGAGTCTGAAGAAGTGCTTAAAACTGTGTAGATGGCATTTATCAAAACTTTCTTTCAGCTTTCCTTGAAGAATTGGCTGGTCTGCACAACAAAAGTAAGACCGAATTTAAATGGCCTAGCATTTTTTGTGTCAAATGTTATAGTTCAGCTTAATCGACGCTCTCACTCTATACCTATTAGTATACAAACTTAATTAACATGACAGCTGACTTTCTTGTTTGAAAGCATGGCGAAAGTCACTATCGAAAGTCTATCAGAAACCCGTTGGTGGTCAGTAATAAATTCTTTGATAGCATCTACCGAACCCCTCGGGGTATCAAAGTCTATTGCATTAATTGTGATTTCTTTCGGAGACAAGGGAGACGACAAATTGAAAGTAGGGCGTTTGTCCTCATACAGAACCCGGCTCTGTTGCAACATCGGCCTCGGAACGATTACCCCAAGTGGAAGACTGCCATAAACGTAAAACAAGATTGTGAACTGACCTTTGGGAAGAGCGATCGGTGGTCGACGTCGACGCGGAGGCGAAGAGGAGGTAGGTGGCTGGAGGGGACACTTCTGTGAAAGCAGGGGAAAGCTAAGGCAGTAGATGCATGTCTTACGTAAGTCTACTTAGATGTCCACACCTAACACAACCTAACCAGTCCGGCCGAAGATCAGTGGTACATTCCCATTAGTGACAAGGATTCCTTCTGGTAATCCGACAGGTTCTAATCATTAATCCATTCTCATACGCAGCTATAAAGTTAAATAGTTTACAGTAGGCCTAATAAATATTGAGGTTGTGTTGACGAGACTGTTTTTCTTCAATTCTATTATATTTAATTCTCTATTGTTCGAATAATTTTTTATCCAAATTAAAACACAAACACTTACCTACACTATTTATCATATAGAACGGTAACTTGAAATTATTCATAAATAAAACTTACTACAACAACTGCTGCACAATATTAAGTTCTACAATGCGTTGATTATAAAACAGATGTTTTCAAAGGTCCGTAAAATGCTAACAAAAAAAATATTCCTCTTTAGGTTATAAATTAACCATGCATTATAACAAGTCGACGATACATTGAAACAAAATCAGAATCTAGCCCATCCCTCATAAAAAAAACTCCAATGATTTTATTGGCGTAAAACAGTCACAATTATATAAATAGAATTTCAATCATCAAGTTATTATTTTAAACTAAATGCACGTCAACTTTAACACATATAAAAAATTGATAAAGATAAGAAAATTCTACTTAAAGACAAGTAATCTTTGAAATTCACACGGTGTGCCTAAATTACTTTTGTGAAATTATAAAAAATAAATATTTTAAGTTAGTCAAATAAATAAAAGTTTTAAAATTTAAAGAGAATTATTGACCAGTAACGTAAGTCACCCTATGGCATTAACATCGCCATTTTTTATTAACGTTTGGCATTAACATGTTATTGGTTACTGTCAGGAAGGGCGTTTAAAACCCGACAACTCCTTTTGTGGAAAACCACTTTATGTACGCCTATATACGACATAAATGAATAGGTATAAACCGAAGGTTAGTAGCAGCCGGAAGCCAGACTCACTCGTTTGTATGTTACACATTTTTTTGAATCATTTATAACATATTTACGTGAAATATAGTAACTGGTAAAAAACGTTTAAGCAAAAGATTTCCCGATTTTGATGAAATCATCAAAAAGGATATTTTTTGCTCGAGTTATTATTACTTACAGACATACACACACATCGCTCATTTGCTATTATAGCATTATGCATATTAGCATATACTTACTATTACTATGTATGTAAATACGGTAGTAATACAAATTGAATACTAAACACCTTAATTGCACATTTTATCCAACATAATACTTGTAAATATGTATTTAAAAACATCATTCATAAGTTAAGTACACGTTATTAAATCTAATATCAGCCTACTCCAAATACGTATCTATACTCGTTATATTCTCATTCACAACTGTAAGTACTCATAAAATATGCCAAAAGGCTACTTATTTAGGTAGAGAATAATACCACATTCTAACACATAATTTGTACCCGTCAAATACAACTAAACAGTTTCTTCCACGACCTTTACTAATTAGATCGCTAACTCTGACTCGTGCTCTTTCTCCATTGCCTTTCTCAATAACCATTCTTCCACCCGGGACAAGGGAAAGGCCCTGTTCGGTGCAGTGAGTCATCTGACGAAGACCGGCAGACGAAAGTCGGAGAAAGTGGCTTACTTTATTTATTGATGATCGGAGGTTTTATCTCGGTTACATAAGAGTGAACCAGTTTACCCGGCGTCCGCGAACGCGTGACCGGTTAGAAAAACAGCTGTAACATTTGAAATCAGCTGTTAGATGCTATAACAGTTTAAATCAGCTGTTAGATGCTATAACAGTTTAAATCAGCTGGTAGATGCTATAACAGTTGAAATCAGCTGTTAGATGCTATAATAGTTGAAATCAGCTGTTAGATGCTATAACAGTTGAAATCAGCTGTTAGATGCTATAACAGTTGAAATCAGCTGTTAGATGCTATAACAGTTGAAATCAGTTGTTAGATGCTATAACAGTTGAAATCAGCTGTTAGATGTTATAACAGTTGAAATCAGCTGTTAGATGCTATAACAGTTAAAATCAGCTGTTAGATGCTAGATGCTATAACAGTTGAAACCCAGCTGTTAGATGCTATAAAAAACATGAGAAGAAGAGTAAAAGAGAACTACTATACTAAGAACTGCATGGGTAAAAATTTCTACAAAAGTACTGGAATGTTTCCACGTACAACAAGTACGTGGAACATAAGGTGTTCTGTTAAATTTTGACGAAGAAATTTTAAAATAATAAACGTTGGTCATTAATAATTACCATTATTAATAAATTAATAATGACCTGTTAGTCATGTAAAACTGGATAATTTTTAAATGGTGGTAATAGGAAAATCGCAACTGTATTTGCGTCAGGACGTTAAGAAAAGCTGATGTATTTAACAAGTTTAATAATGAAGGATAGATATTAAATAATTTTAAGGACAAGAAAATATTGATAATGATAGGCCTACTATATCCTTAAACTAAATAGTCACTGATACGTTTAAACATAATTTGCATAATCTCCATTGGCGTAACAGCAATTATACCGTTTTCAGGACTGTTACAATTTGATGAACCCTACATATAAAATGTTACGTTTAATTAACACACAAACATAATTGAATTCTGTTATTAAAATAATTATAAATGTTGAAGGTTAGGATTTAACAATAATCGTTTTGTGTTGTTAGGGAACTCTTACATACATAAGTAATGTTTGTCTGAGAATCATATACTTTT